GTGTGTGTGTGTGTGTGTGTGTGTGTGTGTGTGTGTGTGTTCTGATACTCACGTTAGTGTTTTACTGAGGACCACATGCAGAGAGTTGGCCAGTGGTAACATGTTTTCAGGTCGGGAATTCCAACTTAGATGACCCCAAATGATCAAATTCATGTTGCCTTTAAAATGAAACACATTTAGTACAAAATATATAGAAGTTACTTATTATATCATTTAGTGCTAATGTCAAGAAGACACTATTTATTCATGTATAACACGATCATCATTTTTTTTAGCTTAAAAAGCATAAAAAAATCTAACCATCAATAACCCATGTATAATACTACCCCTCCACTTTATGGATGATTTTTAGGGTTAAATATCTATTATACATGAATAAATACAGTAATCATCAACAGCAGTGAAGAACTGTTATACCTGGTCGTGACACTCGTGTGATGGTGTTCAAAAAGTACTGAAATTCAGTTCTGTGGGGAAAAAAATATACAATTGAATATCTACGGTAATCAAACTGGAACCTTCAAAGTAAAAGATATGAAGGGACCAGCAGAATCAACCAATAAATAAAAGTACACACACTGATTCTGGTTATAGTTTTTACATGAAACAAAAGGAACATAAGACAGTACTGTACAAAGCATGCTCCAGTTCTTACTTTAACATTTTAAACTAATCCACACATTGTTGTAAAGCTGTAATCAGTGCTGCGTTGAAACTGTTACCTTCAGCACACACACTGATAACAGCCTCATTGTTACAGCCATGAACTGATTTACATGATTTGAAACGACCTCTGATCCATTTTCTGTCTTTTTGTCATGACGCTGAGGTTTTAGCTTTATGGTTATGAAGAGGTAAAATCCAAGAGTCAGTGACAGCAATGAGCAAAAGCTGTGATTTGTTCAGTTAAGGCAGAATGTTTTGTTAATTCCAGATTGCAATTACAGAAATATCAGATGTCATAATTGAATAATTAATTAGGAACAACTGATTTACATATAGAAATCTGATGAAAGTGAAAGTTGGATCATGACTTACGGTAAACTCCATGGCAGTGCTCCATCTTTGCCTATCCCCCTGTCGTTGCAGATTGCAGCGATGAGGCGAACAGGTTTGCTCTCCTTCATCTCCGGGAGCAGATCTTCAGTCTTGGCAGCAGGAAACTGAGAACAGAGGAGGGGAAACGTGTGTGAGAGCAGCTCATTCAGACTGAAGCGTCGCCTCCCACCAGGCCTCAGCTGCTATTGGACACAGTGCAGTTTCTCAGCATTTTCTGACTGCTAAACTGTGATTCACTGGTTAGGGGGCTGTCCTTACTGCTTACACAGGGGGAACACAATCAACATAAACTACATTTTATCTGTTTTAAACACCTCTCAGAAAAGAAATACTATGTCAGATGATTACTAAATGACTAATTAGCTGCATAGTTTTGTTTAATTAAAAAAATACATTATTTTGCTACAATAAAAACATTCAAAAACATTTTWTTTGCTGAAATTACATAACCTTTTTTTGCAATATTTAGGTTCAGCTTCATATTATAGAATAAAATAACCGACAACAGACCCTGAGGGATTAGAGCTCTTGCATGTGATTTAGCTTATGTAACGTCTTTGAATTAATGCTGAGAAAACTCAAACCTGTGCCTGACGCCCCCCCCGGTCCCAGATTGTTCACTTTAGAGGTCAGACTTTGATTTTTTTAGTGGCTCTTGATGATTTAATCTTATTTGGTCTCTTAAATTGGGAGTAAAAGAAAATATGCTGGGTTACAAACTGTTTGTCACAGACTTTGGTGTTACTCAGTGAACTTTTATCCATAAATAACAGATGTAATTTATGGGTAAAAGTTTACTAAGTAACACCAAAGTCTGTCACAAACTGTTTGTCACAGACCTTGGTGTTACTTAGTGAACTTTTCCCCATAAATTACATCTGTTATTTAGAGTTAGTCGTAGAAGATGGAATTTTAATCACTTGTGTCCAAAAAAACCCAACAAAAAAGTATTCGTTTTGGATAAGCAGAATCATGCGTCACCTGCAACAAATATTTCCTTTCTAGATAAAAAGTATTTGTAATAAATAACAGAAATCACAAGGATATTCTGCCTTTTATTGTCTTTTCAATACATTCAAAACATCGTCATTTATTATACAAAATATAGATTTACGAGCACAGGACAAAAGAAAAAATAACATATGCTTATAACAATAATTTTACTTTTTCATAACATTACAAAAAGAGATGTAGGATCACATGACCAAATATACAAAAGTTAAAAATCCTTACAAAATGTTTTACAGCCTGCTACACCAACTAGCTTCTATTATTTTTCTTCTGTACATTAGACATTTATTTTGTTAGCTTCATGAACAAAATAACTCAAATACATTCAAAACATCGTGTTGTTTATAAGAAAACATTAAGGGTTGTGTTTTTAAGATCAGGTAGGTCTGCATTTCATTCATTTTCCTGTTCAGGGTTTCATCACCCCTGAAGGAAAAACATTTTTCCAACTTTGTGCGCTGAAGCTGAAGAAATGAGATTATCAACAAGTTCTGATGGGTTTCTAATGACCGATGAKTAGACTGAGTTAAAAGAAGGACTAAGTTAGATCCAATGGCCAACCACAATCTTTAACAAGCTGAGAGTTTGTGCCGCCATCTTGGTAGGTGCTAAGTAGCGTCGCTAGTTTGCTAAGGAAAGCTATAATTACTCTAAGCAAGTTACTGAGCTAATAGAAAATGTATCAGTATTAAAATGTTTTCTTAAATGATAGCCATTAGTTTGTTAATACCAATTTTAAGGGTAAAATAGTTTGCCCTTATAGCTTGACATGTTAATCACGTTATACAAGGTCTAAATATTTGCAGAATTATGAGGTAAGAGATCATATAAGTTAAAATTATTAGTTTGAGTGCACTTAACTACAGAAGATGATGGCATAACTAGTGGGGAGTACTTGATGTAAAATTCTTAATTATCTAAAAAACATTTATGTAACAGTCTGGTTTGATTGATTACAGCCCTTGGTAATTTTATCACAGTGATTGCAACACGTCATGTTAGCTTTTTTCTTCTTATCTGTAATTTAGATAAAGCTATTTCTGAGTATTTGGTAATGACAATGTACAGCACATGCAAAGCAGTAGTGTGACGTGCAAACCAAGTAGCACCTAGTAGGATGGTGGCGAAGACTCTCAACCAGCACTGTCAGATACCATTTTAGTGGTTTTACTTCAAATAAATGATGCCCAATGAGCAGAGATATGAGATTGTACTAGACAAAATAAGATTATTTTAAGTGGAATTACACACAGCAGTGGAAGACATTAGGCTGATTCCAATCACACTGATAAAATGACTAAAATCTGTTGTTAAGCAGAAATTAAGAAACATGTCAAAAACGTCCATAAGGGTGGAAGCAGCTGTTTGTCTATGAATTCCAATCAGAGAGGCACCACACCCCAAAGCCTGCGAAACTTCATGTTTGTTGTTTTCTCAGAGTAACAAAAAACTTTAAGTTACACAAGGCATCAGGGGGCTGCTGATGRCTGAAACCACTGGATCTTGTYGTCCATCAGGATTCCAATAGACATGTTTTAAAATCTGTTTTTCAACCATTTGAAGTCGTTTATAACTGAGCTATTGAAGACTGTTATTCAGAAACATCTAAAAAGATGACAAACTACGATTCACTTTATGTACGAGCAACAAGAGGGTGTTTTAGTGATGGAAAATAAGATCTGACTTTTTTTTATAACACTAAAGCCCTTTTTGAAATATATATATATATATATCTCATTCTGCTGGGTAGTCGCACAGACACCGTACACACGCTGACCCTTCACAGGCATAACAGTGGTGGAGAAAAAAACATTTTGGGTCCAGCGTTAAAGGATTTTGTGAAAAACACATAAATCAAGTTTGTAAACTAGATATCTTTAGTCCTCTGTGACAATATTTCATTATTTTCTTCTKTGTCTGGCAAACGTTTCCTGCTGTCAGTGACTGACAGTAACAATGTCCTACTTCATGATTTTTATTTATTTATTTTTTTTGCTTTGTAAATAACCCACAAAGCAATCAGGCTGGGTTTTGCTGTCTTCTCCTGCATGGCTTCACAGGTTGTTTGCAGAACATACTAGACATGACGCAAACCTACAGAGTTCTTCTACACTGGCCACTCTATTTGCCTAGCTTCAAGGACTTAGAGCAGCTTTCAGGTCCATTCTCTTCATGATGGCGCTTTTGCGTCAATCTTCTTATTCCTGCAATAAAACACAACACAGATCAGGATATCTACATGTTTGCAATCAAACAGATTTCATTTTGTGAAGCATTTTAACAGAAATGAAACCAGGCTTGAGGTATGTTATGGCTTTTTGTTTTCAGTTTTTGGTAGCAAAGGAGTGGAAGTGATGTTTCCAATGAAGCAATGAATTCATATTCACCTGTTTGAGATGTTCTCTTCTTTCCTGAGCCTTTGGTTTGGGTGTTGACTCGTCCGACTTTACCAGCAACCACAATGCTGTTGAGGCTTACTGGTACTGTTGCTAGCATGCCTGTGAGGTAAAACACAGTGTTTCAAGTTGATCCAACCAGAGAAAAATTAAAAAATATTTCAATCCAACTCTGCAGACGTCTCTGAAATCAAGTTAAAATGATTCTTTAGCTCGGGAACAAACAGAGGCTCACAAAGACATGGTAGCCTGGCAGTTAGACTGATGATGATATGCACGCTAATTACTGAGACATGATTCGCTACAGTTTTATCTCCTCAGGGGTTGAAACACCACAGTATCAAAAAGCTGTAGCACAATCAAAACCTTGAACTGTTAAAGACTAGTTGGATTTGAAGAAACTGACAGTCATTAAGAAGAACCTATTGAGAATTTATTTATTTATTATTATTTTTTGTTAAACAACAATTAACCTTCATTGCACTTTAATTCACATTTCCTTTCTAAAAGATTTCTTTAAATCAGTTCCCAACAATCRGTTTATGCAACACTTGATTAGCATGCTGGTGAAGTCTTTACCCAGGCCTCTGCAGCAGGAAAGCTGCTGGTAAATCTGCTTCATCCGCTCCACGTTGATGCGGCTGACCTTGGCATGGTTCACCATGGGTTTGGGGTAGTCTGTTCCAATAATACATCTGGACGCATTCTGCACTTCCTGGGGGGCAGTCCAAGGTTCATAGATGTATTTGGCAGGRAAAGCCCTCAACGCTGGTAAATAACGCCTAGTTTAAGAAAAAAAAAAAAGAAAAGAAAGAAGATAAATGTGAAGAGCAAGAACTAGGAACAATACAACTTCAACCATTTTATTATCCCAATATATTTAATATTTTAGATWAGTACCATAATGTACATGAATTACAAAAAGTACAAAACAAGTCCATGTTATTTCTACTCCAATGAAATGTATAAATTAGGGGTCTGCAGCCTTTACTGTCAAAAGAGCTTTTCTCCTCCTTGGCTCACTGATAAAATGTGTCCAAAACTGGCCCGTGGGCCAGTTTGAGTTTGTTGAAGGGAGGCCTTTCCGAC